AAAAGGAAATAAGCTTTTCTCTTTCCCCTGGAGATTTTCCTTAGAGATTTGAAAGAACAAATCTATGAAAGTGAATCCTGGCACTTTTGAGGATGTACTTCTTTAGTCGCTGTTTCCTAGTTATTTCTGTTTTATGTCTTTGAGTAAATGTCAGGAAACGTTTTTATTGAGTGTCTACTCATTCAAATTTATTAGCCAAGAACTGTGGGAGTATTCTCTATGGTTCTTTCCATTTCCTGTTATTATTTCCTCTTTCACATTCTTAATTCCATGTATTTATATAATTTTCACCGTAATTCCTAAGTAGCTGTTTTATTTTTCTAAAAGAGCTTATAGCTCTTGGATCAATTTATCAAGTCCGCTTGTTTCTGTTTACAATTTATTCATTTAGACTTTTGTTTTTATGAATTCTTTTACATTGGTTTCTTAGGTTTATTAACTTGTTTCTTTTTCGCTTCTTAAGTCAGAAGTATAGTTGTGTTATTTTTATTAACAAGGTTTACAATCATTTTTTAATTTTTTTCTGAATATAAAAAGTCTTGTTGTAAATTTGCAAATACAGAAATGTGTAACCAAGAAAGGAAAAATTCCCTGTAATTTGATCACCAGAGATAACCATGTATCTCCTGATAATTTGGGGTATTCTTCCAAATGCTTTTTGATGCATGTATTTCTCCCTTGGTGTGTGTGTGTGCGTGTACCAGTTAACATGTGTAGAGATGTGTGTGTATATATATATTCATAATGTATTATACATAGATGTATGTATATTTGTAGATACATTTACTTCCGTGAATATCTGCTTATCTACATCTATGTATCTATATGTTATGGTCGCCTGCAGAGACTAATGAACTCCCACCTCCAAGTTTGATTTCGATGTCAAGGGGGTATGAAGTATTCCTAATTACGTAGTTCAGGTCTCTAGGAGAGCAGGACGGGCCTCTCACAGGTCTGAAAATAGCCTAAGAGAGCAAAGACAAAAGGCTGGCTGGTTTTTATTGTGGTTGGGAGGTGAGAGTTCCCACGTTAAGCCAAGGGCTTGTGTCATTTAAATCTGCTGGTGCTAAAGGGAGGAGCACTCAGCTTTCTCATCAGTTTGTCCAGCAGTTGGGGAACAGCTGAAGAGGGACAGGTAAGGCTTAAAGGCCGTCAGCAGCCATCAGGTGGAGTCAGACTCCTCTTTACACTGTGCATCTGCATCTGTGAGTATATATGTAGAAAGGCTCGTGTATACACACGCACACACGCACAAACCCATCCATCACATCTACTGTATGTATTGCAACTGCCTTTTCTCATTAATAATCTTATGTCAGCCTGTTGAGGAGGTGCGTATGTTTCCATTGCGTGAATGTGCCATAGTCACTGTTTTGTTTATTAATAAGTTGTTTCCGTATTATTTCTGTATAGTTTACAATGGGACACTGATCGTGCACACCACACCCCTGTAAATGTGCAACTGTGTTAGTCATTCAACAGCGTCATGCGCTCTTTGATGTCTCAGATACTGTACAAGTCCCAGATTCTTTGGTTACATGTTAGTGGGAGGAGGGGCACGGGACAGTGTCCTAGCATGTCAGATATGAGCAATGCTAGAAACAATATAAAACGGGAGATGGTGATGAGGGTGGTCGGCTATTCAGGGTAGTGAGGGGGGACCCCAGAGTGGGGCAGACACACGTGGGAGTGACTAATGGAGTTATGTCTCAGGGAAGAGCAGAATTTCATAGAAAAGGTCTGTAAGATAATTTTTAGTTCAAAGGGTGTACATAATTTAAATGATGGCTCTTGTAAAATTCTTCATTTTTAAAAAATGTATACACTCCCCAATGTAACCTGTTAACACATTCTTAACCAAACATCCATTTCTTTCCATCAACAAATGGGATAGTAACCTTTTATTCTACACCTTTTTTGATATGGTGGACAACAAATTATATCATCTTAGGTTTGTTCATTTACAGTAAGACTGTGCATCTTTCATTTGCTTATTATCCATTTGTTTTGTTTTTTTGGTAAATTGCATATTTATGTCATTTGCAAGTTTTCCACAGGCAATTGGCCACTTATTATTCTACAAATATTTTTTTCATTGTGATTTGCTTTTTCATTATACTATCAATTTTTTTTGACATACAGAATTTTAGTCAATTCACCAATTATTTTCATTTAAAGAGTTAGTGTTTCATGTCATCCTTAATAGCCTTCATCACTTATTCATCCATATTTCTAAAACATTGAAAGTTCAAAGGCTTTCAATGTTTCATCTAACTTATGCTTAAGGCTTGAGGTAAAGAATCCCGCTTTAAAAAGCAACAAAACAATGCCGAGCTGGTTGTTCCCAGGCCATTCCATCCTTTTGTCTGGCTCCTCTCAATTGATTCACCAAGCCCCTATTACAATAAACCAGATTTCCTTAGATACTTGGATCTGTGCTGTGACTTGTTTTACTCAGCTTCCTATTTTGGCACCAATATCACACCGCTAATGACTCAAACTTGAATGCCTCTTAGGGTAATAACCTCCCTCAGACTCTCCCACTCCCATGCATGTTTCCAGAAGTTTCCTGATTTTTCTCACATGTTCTTTCAAACTTAGAATCAAGTTTTCTCCCAAAATGATTAAAAAATCCTCCTGGGATTTTGATTGAGAATCCATTATAATTACGTATTACTTTGGTGAGCATTATACTTCAAAATAAAAAAAACACTGCATTTTCCATTGAAGAACTAGACTCAAATTTTCATGTCCCTTAGTAATCATTTTTTTCATGTCATACATTTTTTATTCCTAAGTATTTTATTTTTGTTCCCATTAGCTGTGTCCCACAAATTTAATATTGCTGTTTTCATTACATTCAGTGTATTTTATTTTTGAGACTTCCTGGATCCATGGATTGTTTAAGTTTTTGGAGATTTTGCTGTTACCTTTGTTATTTCTAGCTTGATACCATTTTAGTCAGAGTACCCTTTCTATGGCTTTACTTCTTTAAAATCTTTGGAGGTTCATTTCATGGCCCAGAACATGGTCTGTGTTGGTAAATGTTTCATGGGCATGAGAAAAAAATGTGTGTTGTGCTGTTGTTGGGTGGTGTGCTCTATTGTCAATTAGATTCTGTTGGTTGATGGTGTCACAAAGTTTTTCTATATTCCTGCTGATTTGTAGTTCTATCAAGTAGTTTTATTGGTTGAGAGGGATATTGAAGTCTCCAACTATATGTGGATTTCTCCCTTCAGTTTTTACTTGAATGTATTTGGAAGCTCTTTTGTTTGGTGTATAAACCTTTAGGATTGTTGTCATGTTGGACTGAACCTTTTATTAATATGTAATGTCCCTCTTTGTCCCATTAGGGCTGATTCTTAGAAGCAGAGATGATCAGAACTCTTTCTTTTTGATACAGTGAATCTGGAGTGGGTGGGTCTGGAAATCTGCATTTCAACAAATTTCCCAGATGACTTCTATAATTGAGTATTAATTGGAATTCTTTCTTGCAAACAATGGAAATTGACTTTGGTTAACTTAGGCAGAAAGGAATTCATGGAGTATCCAGTAACATCTACTGGATTGCTCCAGTCCTGCCAGGAAGCAGAGCCTTGTACCTCTCTAGGGAAGCCAGAAAGACAAAGCAGCTGTTCTCCCTGATCCTAGCTGCTTGTGAGCTCAGCTCAGCCCATCAGGATCCCATGCCGCCTAGGACTTCGAATCTGGTGGAAAGGATGTGAGGTAGGGCTAGTTTAGAATTCATTTTGGTGAGAATTCTGGTGTCCAGTCACAGAAGTAGCAGCAATGGCAGAATGGAGACACATGCCTAACGACAGCATGATTTGGTCAGAATTCAGGCTGCCTGGTTCCCCAGCCTTCTGCACACACACAGACACACACATTTCTATTCATACAAACTCCTGTTTGGGAAAAACTTTTATTTTGGGAAATAGAATCTACTACTTGCTAGGTCAACTATAAAACAATGAGGCTAATATCATGGGTTCTGTTGCATGACAAGTGGAATTATTTACTGTTCTGGAAGGCGGCAGACTTTATAAAAGGATGGGCTCTCAGCTTGTGTATTTTAGGGGAGCCTAAGTGGTGGTGAAAGCGCTATGCTGTCTCAGGGGTCTGTCTGTGACTTTGGACAAGGAGTCACTTAGTTCTGACTCCAGGCTCATCTGTCAAGTGAGGGGGCTGGACTAGCTCAGATGGTTCTAGGCCTCTCCAAATTGCAGTGTTCTGTGACTCGAGCGCCTCGCTGTTCCTTAATCACTTCAGTTAACCATTTTTCTGAAATTGACAACCATCAAGCGCTTGGCTCTTTGCTAACTGGGCACAGTTGTGGGGAAAGTGATGCGGGAAATGGGAGTGTCTGAACAGCCATTATTAGGGCGCGACGATCCAGGCCAAAGGATGTATTAATATGTGGAGGGGCAGAAATCCATTCTTGCTGTGGAAAAACGGTCAAGAAACAAAGTTTTGATTTGATAGTCACACATAAGACAATGAACAGACAAGAAGGGTATCTTTTCAGAGACCCTAAGATTCTCTCTCTTCCAAAACAAACCTTTCTCATGGTTCATCCTGTCAGAGCTTAAGAGATAAAATGGATGTTTAGCAGAGGGGGTACTGCATGAAATGAGAGGGTTAGAAGTTAAGCAAGCCGAGTTGGTGTGAGAGGGGGGAGAAAACAGGCAGACCTCCCATCTCCCCCAGATCCTGGTTTGCTCTGGACATGCCCGAGGGGCGGGTGCAGAGAGGTCAGCTGGCCAGGGCATAATACCACTCCCAGCTCATGGAGGACTCCCACCACATGCCTACAACAGCTCAGCCCGAATGATAGCTCTCAGGTGTTGAGATGCCCAACTTACAGCATGGCCGCGAAGGTGCATAAATAATCTTCATTTATGCATTAGGGGAGGTGAATCCTTATTTCCCCCTTAGACGCAAGGATCAATTTAGAAGCGATGGGGGCACAAGAAATTAAAGTCCTTTTTTGTGACTTGCAGGTTCTTATGAGCGCATCTTTGCTGGGGGCCTTGTGTCTCTTCTCATCTGTTTGTGTCATCTGTGCCATTTCCGCATTTACTCTCCCCATTGAGACCAAAGGGAGGGCCCTCCAGGTAAGTGCTGCAGGGGTCTCTTAACAGGTTCTTCACACCCACCTTTAGAACAGAGGAAATGAACTTGGAGTATGGAAATCCTTTTAAGTAGACATGATAGTCAAGTGTGTGCTAGCATTCGTTCAGTGTGTTACAACAGAAAAACTGGGTATCCATTTTCTTGCGTGTAACTTTAAGCAGCACTAAAGGTATAGCAGTCAATTATTCACCTCAAACCTCTGATTCCTCTGAAAGTTCTAGCTTGCTCAGGGGCTAGGGCATTCTACCCTTTCCACTTTTCTATCTGGATGTAAGCATTGCTGCACACACAAAGGGGACCAGAGGAGCAAAAACAGCTGTTTGTGTGGCTGGGAGGTTCACTCCCTTTCCCCTAGTACAGCGGCCGCCTGTGAGGCAAAACTTCATGCGGCTCCAGCTGCCACCCAGCGCTAACCATCACGAGACACTGACTGCTGGCTATTTTGCAAAGTACATAAAAAAGGATATCCCAGGGGCAAAGCTGGAGAAGCCAGGGCCTCTGCCAGGTCTGTGCCCCTATCCAAGTATTGGTGGTGGCACTGGGGTTTTGCTGCCTCAAACGCAAAGCTTGTTGCTGCGGGGAGGGGAGAGCAATGGGGGTTAGGTGTATAATTTGGTCAATCTGGACCTGCCGCCCCAGATGAGCCTGTGCAGAATCATGGTGCTTCTCTGGCTGACAGTGACTCGCCCTCTGTCCCATGTCCTATTCCTAGTATACCATAAACGTATTTGTGTGGTACTGATGTATTTGGTTGTCTGTGAGTAGATAGATATAAGGAAGGCATTGGTGAGTAAAGGAAAAAACACACCAGTCTCGATGGTATTTCCTAGGTCCAAAATGTGCTATTTCATTTTTTAAAAACCTTAGCTTATCTTTAATATGCATTTTAATCACAGATTAGATAACCTGTCATGCAATTATGAAGTTAGGGCTTTGTTTAGATTCTATTCATTAAATACCTAATGCCAGAGACTGAGTTAGATGATTCATAGGATTTAATCTATATAAAGGGATTATCCCATCCTTCACACAAATGAGGAAACAAGGCAAAGGTAAGTACCTTGTGTAAAGGAACATGCTAGTAGGGAGTGGGGCTGGAATTTAAATCAGATTGAATTAAGTGATGCTTAATCTTATGCTAATCTTCCATGCTTAGTAAGTAGTCACAATACATATAAAAGGAAACCAGGCTCACCAGCTAATGTGGCTGTGGATTTCCAATTTAAGTCATAATCCACTTAAATAGGGCCATTTCCTCTTCTGCTGCTTGGGTCCTGGTTTTAGCATTGTGGTGAAATCATTTTACACGTCCACTGATAAGCCTTTGAAATGTAGTTGCCTTACAACTTTATCATGTATGTTCAGTAAATACAATTGTCTGGGCACACTGTCCTTGCGCCAATCTTGAAAGGTTATGTGTGTAGCTCAGTGTTGTGAGCACTTAACATATGAAACTATTTAGTGACTGACAAAAATAAAGCTTCTAGAAATGTTAAAAACATGCCAAAAAATGTTAACTTCCAACATAGACACAGCATCCCAGTAACCTGACTGGACCAACAGACCTAGTTAATAGTTTAATAGTGGCAATTCTCTTTTAGAATCACTCTAAGAAACCCATTCATTTTATTTCTCAGACTAATGTCAGATAGTTTACTTTTAGGAGTTTTAAGGCTTCAGGGCTTACATTTAAATCTTTAACCCACTTTCAGTTTATTTTTGCCTGTATCTGTCCAGTGTATATTTTTACCTCCTTTGTTGTAGAACAGTGGACCATGTAAGCGAGGGTTTATTTCTGGGCTTTCTATTCTGTTCCACTGATTTATGTGTCTGTTTTTGTGCCAGTACCATATTTTTTTATAGCCTTGTAGCATAGTTTGAGATCAGGGAGCATGGTACCTCCAACTTTGTTGTTCTTTCTCAAGAGTGCTTTGGCTATTTGGGATCTTTTGTGGTTCCATATAAATTTTAGGGTTATTCTATTGTAGTTCTGGGAAGAATGACATTGGTATTTGGATAGGAATCGCAATGAGTCTGTAAATTGCTCTGGGTAGTATGGTCATTGTAACAATATTATTCCTTCCGTTTATTTGTGTCTTCTTCCGAGTACAGGTCTTTCACCTCCCTGGTTAAGTTCATTCCTAGGTATTTTATTCTTTTTGATGCAACTGTGAATGGTATTCTTTTCTTCATTATTAGTGTAGAGGAATGTGACAGATTTCTGTATATTAATTTTGTGTCCTGCTACTTTACTGAATTTTTATTAATTTTTCAGTGGATTCTTTAGGGATGAGCTTGGTAAACTAAAAAACAAGCTCTTGAAAGAAGGTAGTTATGGGATTTTATTCTGAATGATGTCTGTATTGCACTAGAATAAACAAATTATAAAGCTACCATTGCTTTGTCAGGCACACAAAAGTGAATTCCTTACAAGTATATTAAAGAGCCTTCTATTACTAGTTTCTAGTGCAAAACAGCTAAATATGAATCGGGAGACTTTTTTATGAAATGTATTGATCTATTAAATCACTTCTTTTTCCAGCAAGTTAAATGAAAACCTGCAAACCTATGTCTGTCTACTGGAGAAGAAAATGCATTTTATCTTCACAAGGACCTGTGGTACATTTTTAAAAACCTGGTTTTAGTTCTGTATGCTACTTGTTAATTAATAAACTGATTATTTTTAAAAAGGCGCACAAGGATGAGGTGAGCTAACTGCATATTGATCTCTTCCCTAAGAGCCAATATATAGGAAATGTTTATAAAATACACTTCAAGGTTGGAAAAGTATGTCTGTGGAAGGTGGGTAGGGGGAAGGTGGCTTTTCTCCCCTGACATCAAGTCTGTTAATCTTTAAATGAATAAACAATTCTCAGACACAACACATGCATACTTGATATTTTCCTATGAGGTCTATAGCAAAAGGTAGACTGAAATTTTGTAGCTTAGGCAAGAACTTGGGGTGACATCATTAAGGTTTTCAAAACAGCCAACAAATTGACAATATACATTAGCCTATTTATTTAAATTGTGGCCTCCATAGTTTATTAATGAAAACTGCTTATTCATAAAACAATATGCTTAAGTTCGTACGAGTCTCTATCAAGAAGACTCATACTAACATAGAATCACCAAGAAGTTGGGGATAAACAAATTTTTCCTAGATATTCTGTTTCTACTCTAATTTTATTAATTTACAGGGGAATCTTTGATTCCCATGATGTGATTTAAGAAAGAAAAAGAAAAAGATTGCAGCAAGCTGTCCTACATCATGTCATTATTTATCTGCCCTTTATTGGGCAACTGCTGCATGACGATCTCAGTCTGCTAGGTTAGGGACACCGTGCCAACACCTAAAGCTTTTAGTCTTCTATTCCCATTCAGACTTACTGTGGAGACCTCTGAAATTGCCGACCCCAAGGTGTGGCTCCTGCACTCCTCTCTCAATCACAATGATGTGTCCCTGTACTAGCAAACTGTAAATATTCTAGGCTTTGTAAAACTACATATGCTCTGTCACTTTTTTCCTCCACAAGCCTTCAAAAGAGTAAAAACAAACAAACAACAAAAAAAAACATTCTTAGCCAGGAGGTTGTATGAAAGCAGGCCAGAGGCTGAATTTGGTCAACAGGGCATAGTTTTGCTGAAATAGATTTTTAGGCCCAAGACGGAGTCCCTCCTGCCCGGGGTGCTTCATCAACACACTGAAACTTAAATAACTTCTGTGTCCCTGTACATGCTCTGCTTGACCCGAAACACAGGACAACCAGCCAAATGCCAACCCGACTCTGGGTTCTCTGCTCACTTCCTTATTCTTTATCCTGGAAAAGCTTCCTGCCTTCTGTTCCCCCGCTGCAGTCTTTGGACACTTGGGAACATAGATTGTCCGCTTCAGTGTTTATAAATAAAGTTTGTAACAACTAAATTGTCTTCTTTAATCATTTTTAACAGTTTTTGGCAACAAGAAAGGGATCCGAAGTCGACTGCTAACGGCCTGCGGGACGAGACACACAGGCAAGGTGCCTGCTGAACCCTTTGAGTTCACTGTTCCTCTCGCCAAAACCGAGGGCCGTGGGTAAGTCACTCTCGGATTTGAGCTCTGCTCCCTTGCATGTAGCTCTCCAATCCCAATACTTTATTTAAAAAGATATTTGTTCCCAGAAAGGTTCCAGGACAGTTATATTGGGAGTCCACAGCAGGTGGTAGCTGTTAGGGAACTCATCAAGGTAAGTCTACCGCATAAACTATATTGCTGGGAGACTTGGGGAAATAAGACAAATTAGAGTTTGTTGTGCCATTGCTTAAAACAATCTTAAGTGGGCACAGGTCAAACACTTAGAGTGCTCACTACCTAAATCTAAGACCTCCGTACTAGCATAAGTTAGATAAGTTAGACTGACACTAGGTCACTTGCCAACCTCAAAAAAATTCCATGCAACAAGGTACACTGTAAAACACCACATGATTCCCAATCCAGCAGCATATTCATTAGGTATTAATCTGGCTCCAAGAAACCGCAAGGCTTAGCTAAAGAAACGGGACCCTCAAGTTTCAAAGACTAGAGTATTCCACTTTCTAGCACACCTGCTTAGTTTATGTCTCAGAACTGTGGTCTGGAAGCTGTAGATCTCTACAAAAATGACAAAATCTTACTAAAACAACCTAAACTTAAAATGGCCATTATGAGGAATGTTCCAATTAAACAGATCATTTATTTAAGAAGTGCACTTGAAAGGAAAGCTTCCCAAATCAACAACCAGAATGGAATCCCTATTTGACTGGGATGCAGAAGCCCACCAATGGCTTCAAAATCACAAAACTGCTTCACTGAAAATGCTCATGAAAAATTAAAGATACAGGGAGTACCGAAAACAAGACCCTAAGACTGACATGACTCCTGCTCCCCTCTAGCGTCCTCTCCCTGAGTACTCACCATCTATTGATCCTCGATATGAACTGTCTTTCCACTCTGAAGAAACCACTAGACTGTCAACAACAGTCCAGCAAGTTGGTGGCCTCACAGCTGTAACAGCTCCAAGGCCAGAAACCTAAGACACGACACTTGGGTCTCGACTGTGCACCCTCCTCAGGAGTCCATCGTCAAAACGCTGGCCCAGAAACGGTATCTCATTTGGAATCAACTGGGACACCGGAGAATGAATGTCCTTGAAGGTTCAGTTACATGCTTCCACTGCGACTTCAACACCCCCATATCTCAAAGGAGAGCCGTTACCCGTGATTCCCTTAAATGGCCTAGGAGAAACTAAAAGGAAATCCTTGCCAAATTCTGGTAGAAATCAGAGCTACACACCCTCTACTTCCAACTCACTCTGGAGCCTGCAGATGGGCTCCTGGGACCATTAGCAGAAGCTGGTGAAGAGGGAGAATTCATACGAAAGTCAGCTCTCCTGGAACTCGCAAGTGCCCAATTGAGAGAGAAACAATTTTAAAACAACCATATAACTTTCTGCATTTGCTTCAAAGTCACTGGTTAAACGGGTATTTTGACAAAATTCCCCCAAATCATTCTAAATTAAGTGTTTTTGACCTTGAACTAACTTGAGATGTTCCAGGGGTCCTTTGGACAAATCCTAAAATAATACGTTCTCTCCTTATACAGTTGACCCCTGAACAACACAGGGGGTTAGGGGTGCCGACACCCCCACGCAGTCGAAAATCCATGTATAACTTTTGACTCCTCAAAAACTTAACTACTAATAGTCTACTGTTGACCGGAAGCCTTACAGGTAACAGTAGGTTAACACATATTTTGTATTGTATTCTTACAATAAAATAAGCTTAAGGAAATGTTTATTTTCTCTTCCTTACGATTTTATACAGTTAGAGTATTTATTGAAAAAAATTCATGTATAGGTGGACCTGTGCAGTTCAAACCCATGTTGTCCAAAGGTCAAATGTAAGAAGAGAAATGTTAAACCAATTAGCCTATTTAATATGTTAAATTATATAGAAAACATAGTCAAATAAGTGATATTTAACCTTCCTATATTTGTAGAGGTATATCTTATTAAGGGTTCCAGAAATTGTATAAAATTCCTAAAGGTCTGGGATAATGTTATCAGTCATATAACATTTTCAGATAACTGGAATTATGTCACAGAAATCACCATATATCCTTGTCAATTCCACTATAATGCACTCTAACGAAAACTTTAACTATGGGCATTGTTAATCTTTTGGTCATTTAGTTATTGTTTTATTCCAACCTTTTTGCAAAAATAATGAGATTCATGGAAAAGACCCTATCAAGTACTTTTTTTTTTTTAGCTGAGCCATCCTGCCACCTGTTGGCAGCTCAGCTCAGGCTGGGAATCGAACCAGCGACCCTGCTGCTTACAGCTTGCACTCTTGAGTGAGCTCTTAACCAACTGAGCCACTCGGCCGGCCCTATCAAGTACTTTTGACCACTGATGGAACTGCCAAATTTCAAGGTGTCAAACCTTGGGTGAAAATTTCATAACCAAAGGCGGCTCCACCTGACATCCATTTGGTCCTATGTGAACAATATAGAGAGACGTGAACAATATAGAGAGACCTAAAAATCTATTAGTTTGGTGCAAAAGTAACTGCGGTTTTTGCTAGAGGCAAAAACCGCAGTTACTTTTGCCCCAACCCAATAATTGACTAGGAAGAGAAGTAGCCAACATGGAGGCAGACTGCTTCCTCCCAAGACATCGGATTAGGGAATGATTTCTCTATCACCTCTCTGACCGTCCTTTCCCTAATTTTTACATTTCCCTAATTTTTACACCATGAAGGTCTTTATGATTCTTTTCTCTACCTTTTGTCTTCCTGTAACCTGGCAAGGTGCTGCCACTTTTCACACATAATTCAGGCCATCACAAAGGAGGGCACTCCAACCTCCAGCACACACTTCCGATTCCCAACGCCTCCATTTCTCTTGAGCAAGCCTGCTGAGTAACCACATCTGAGGAAATGGAGACACGGTCACATGAAGTACACAAACAGGACAGTGGGCTTAAAGAATATCCCCCTCTGTCGGATCGCTTCTTGACTTCATTCTGGTTGGTTTGGGACATGGGAACTGTGGCTCAGGAGTACTCTCCAAACCACGGGCATTATTTGATTGTCTACCTAATACACTGCATTCT